GCAGCGGCGGTGGGAGCGCTGGGGTGGGTGATGAGGGTACCGCTGCGGTCGGAGGGAGCGGGGGAGGGGGAAGAGGAGGGGGAGGGGGAGGGAGCGGGGGAGGGGGAAGAGGAGGGGGAGGGGGAGGGAGCGGGGGAGGGGGGAGAGGAGGGGGAGGGGGATGGTGTTCTGGATGAAGGCATGGGGGAGGAGGAAGCTGTTATGGGCGAGGGGATGGAGGATTGGATGTATGGCGGAGAGGAGGTGGTGGGAGAGGAGAGGGGTGGGGATGATGTGCTGTGGCAGCAGCAGTGGGTGGAGGAAGAGGGGGAGGGGGGGCTGCGGTGGGGGGAGCAGGTGGTGTGTGAAGAAGGTGAGGAGGGGTGGGAGGGGACGCAGCAATGGGTGGCAGAGTCCCTTTCGGGAGCAGACGAGCAAGAGGGAGCAGGAGAGGGGAAGATGGGGAGCACGGGAGTTGGGAGTGGGGACATGGTTGGCGATGCATGTGTGGGTGTGAGCCAAGAAGCTCTGCTGGCAGGGAGTGCAGAGCAGAAGGGGGGAGAGCAGGAGGGGGCGGAGCATAGGGCAGAGGGAGAGGTAGCAAAAGGTGGTGAGGAGCAGTATGGCGCTGAATCCGAGGCTGCGGCTGCCGAACCTTCTGCTGCTCCTGCTGCTGTTGCCGCCGAACCTTCTGTTGCTGCTGCAGCTGTTGCCGATGCAAGTGTGATTGAGGCTGCAGCAATAGCAGTGGGAGGGGTCGTGGATAGGAAGGAATCAGCAGCAACGGCAGCAGTGAGAGCTGTGACCGCCTGTGCACCTCCGGTTGCTGCCCCTGCTGTAGAGGCGAAAGCGGCCGCATCACTGCCCGACCAGGAGGAGGAGGAGCAGAAGGAGCAGAAGGAGCAGGAGGAGCAGGAGCAGAAGGAGGAGGCAAGGGTCGACGCTCGCACAGCAGCGGGTGGGGGGGCTGCAGATGCCCCCCACGCCAGCACAGGGGGCGCCGAGCAGGGGGAAACTGGAGAGCGCGCAGAGCAGGAGGGGCTGGGGGGCGCGGCAGAAGGCAGGGAGGCGGCGATTGGCATGGGAGGGGGGGTGGTGGGTGCAGAGCAGAGTGGAGAGGAGGAAGAGGTGGAGGAGGAGGAGAAACAGATGGTTGCGGTGCGGCGTCGAGGGGAAGAGGTGGTGGGGGTGGAGGGGAGCAAGGGGGGAGGCGCAGGGGCTTTGCCAGACGACCCCTTTGATTCCCCTACCAGCCCTGCCAAGCCCTCGTGCAAGCACCCACCAGAGGAAGTTCCCGTCACCTCCTCTCAGCCCTGCAGCCCGGAGAGTGGCCCTGTGTCTGCCTGCAAGAATGGCAAGAGTTTCTCAGGAAAGTGTGCAGATCTGTCGGCACCGTCCTTCCTGCCAGCCCTCGCCCCCTGCTCCACCTCTGCTGCCAATACCCATGCTAGCAGCAGCGGGATCAGCAGCAGCAGCAGTGGCAGTGTGTGCAGCAGCAGCAGCTGTGGCATGAGTGGCGGTGGGAGGAGTGGCAGCGGCAGTCTGTCACGCGTGTGTGGGCTGGGGCGAGGGGCGCGCAGGCAGGTGGCCGCCATTCTGGACGAGTTCTGGGCGGCGATCTTCGACTTACATGGGCATGCGGTGGTGGTGGATGGGCGCGGGCAGGGCGTGGGGGAGGGGAGGGCGCAGGGTGTGTTGGGGGCAGCAGGGAAGGGCGGCACGGGGAGGACGGCAGGAGGAGCATCACAGGGCGGCATGGGATTGCCCGTGGACTGTTACGTGTCGAAGCAGGCTTCCCTGCCTGCTTTCCATGGCTCGCATCTGTTGTCAGCTAGTGCCAAGCCCTTCTCCCCGTCTTTCTCCCCCGCCTTCTCACCCTCCTCCGTGCCCAGCAGTAGCTTCAGCAGCACCAACACCATAAGCACCAGCAGCACCATGCACAGCAGCAGCATGGGCGGGAGCATGGCGTCGCTGCTCTCATCCTCACTGCCATCGTCAGCAGCAGCAGGGCGCGAGTACAGCACGCTCTCCCACCTGCCCACCCTGCACGAGCTCTCTCTGCTGCACCCCTCCTACCTCCTCCCTGCCCGCCGCTGCATATCCCCCGACCCTCCCTCCTCCCTCCCGCCTCCCACCTATGTGGGCGCGGGCATGGGTGCAGGAATGGGTGCAGGAATGAGTGCAGGTATGGGTACGGGTATGGGCATGGATGCAGGAATGGGCATGAACCAGGGGGCACAGAGCACAACAGTGGCGGAGGGGATGTGTGGGGGGCCGTTAGGGGCCACAGGGAGCGCACTGCTGGGCGGGGTGGATGGTGCAGGGCAGGTGTGGCAGGTGGAGGGGCCCAGCCGCTCCACGCCCAACCTGCGGGGCGACCTGTTGGCCGCGCTCAGAGCGCATTCTCCCTCCCTGCTCGGCCATGGCGGGCTGGCGGGGCAGGGCCAAGGCCTGCTCGCCCCTGGACGCATGAGTCCCTTTCAGCAGCAGCAGCAGGTGTATCAACAGGAGCGCGGAGTGGGGGCGCTTGGGTTTGCAGTGGTGGAAGATTGTAATGTTGATGAGAGTGAAGTGGCGGATGCTGCTGCCAGCCTGGCACAGCTGAGCCAGTTGCAGCACGAGTATGCGGAGTTCAGCAGTACAGGTCGAGGTGGGACTGCTATGGGCGGTGCTGGTGGGGGTGCTGGTGGTGGGGCAGGGGGGGCCATGGGCAGTGCATGGGAGCAGCAGGTGGATGAGCTGGTGGGGACGCAGTCACACCGCACTGCACCACTCCATCTGGGGCTTTGCGACGCTGCCTCTTCGGCTGCCTCTCCTGGTGTGCTCACAAACGGGAGAGTGGGGTCATTACAGCGAACAGGCAGCGGGGGCATGTGGGGGTATGGATCCCAGGCCGTGCGGGGCGCAGCAGCAGCAAGCAGTGGGGGTAGTGGAAAGTGGAGCACGATGCATGTGACGGGGATTCAGGGAAGCATGCACGGGCCTGCCATGCCCCCACAAGACTTACCAGACCTGGCAGACCAATGGCTAGCCGCTACTGCTGTGAGCAAGGGGGGAAAGACCAGCAACCCAGGCTGGCAGCAGATGCAGCAGGTACAGCAGGCGCAGCAGCAGGAGAAGCAGCAGGGAAGGCAGCACGAGCGCTCCATTCCTCTGATGGGAGCAGCCACAGCAGCAACGGCAGAGGAGGCGCGGGTGGAGGCGGTGCGGGTGTGTGTGCAGCGGCTACTACGTGTAGACGGCAGCGACTGGCTGTTCCGTTTTGACACCGGCCCCGATGAGGACCTCATTGCCGCCCTCGCCCTCCGCGACCGCAAGCTCGCCGCCTCCTCCGCGCTCTCTGCCCGCATCTCCCCGCCCGCTCTCACCCACGCGGCCGCGCACCACGCGCATGCTCACAGCGGAAGCAGCAGGGACGGGGAGTGGGTGTTGCCTGCGGGAGTGTGGGGGTGCGGAGCGGGGTGTGTGTGGGGCCCGGCGCTGGTGGTGTCGTTTGGAGTGTGGTGTGTGCACCGGGTGTTGGAGCTGTCTCAGCTGGAGAGTCGCCCGGAGCTGTGGGGCAAATACACCTACGTTCTCAATCGCCTGCAGGTCAGCCACCTCCCCTCTTCCTCCTCCCACAATATGCGCATCCCTGCATGCTCTTCCAGCATGCCGTGTCTTGCAGCATAACCTGTCCTTACCATGTCGTTCTCATCCTCATCTATTCCTTCTCTTTTTCATTGCTTTCTTTCAGGGAGTTTTGGACCCTGCATTTTCGCACCCGCGCCCGGTGCCGGTTCTGTGCGCCTGTTTTGGAGAAGCAGCGGGGCAGCCAGCGCTGGCAGCACAGCGCCTCTTCCAGGGGCTGCTCACCTGCTCCCTGTGGGGCACGCAGATCCCCCTCGCCAGCCCCAACTGGCCCTTCCCCGGCCCGCCAGGCCACCGGGGGCCGGCATGTGCTGCTCTCTTTCTCGACCGCATTCGCGAGGTGGAGTCGGCGGTGGGAGGCCGCAAGGGCAGGACCGGCACGGTGGCGGGGGATGTGGCGTTCCCCAAGGGGAAGGAGAACCTCTCGTCGGTGCTGAAGCGGTACAAGCGACGCCTGGGCTTTTTCGCCAATGCTTAGTTGCTGTTTTTTTTCCCACGACCAGTGGGTAGTAGTGCAGGGAATTTTCCAGCCCACATTTTTTTGCCCAATTTGCGGGCTTATTTGTGACACTATGGTCATGTACGGTAGTTTTTTGGCTTGTTATTCTCCTGTTTGTATTTGCCTTTTTATGGGATTTATTCCTTACTACAGAAAGGTACTTTTACTCTAAACAGTTATCATACCTTCGTCTTTCAGATTGTACAACCCTTTCGGAGGTTATATCGCGATTCCAACCGACACGGCAGCACGAGTCTTGTGTGGCAGACAAGAACTGGCCTCCGCGACAACCCATGAGTCAAAGTTGCGTCATCACCTCTTTGTTACTCGTGTTGGCTCGCCTCATCCCCTTGGCTGCGACCGACGTGCGACGAAACCGCTTTCGCTAACCAGAGGCAACCTCTCCTTACCATGCGCGCAACTTTTCTCAGGATTCCGCAAATCCTCTCTTGCCAAGGATGATCGCACACGGATCGAGGTTGGATATTTCGGCCAATGCTGGTCGACTTGCGCGTGGATCCCGTCGCACGCCAGCGCACCTATGACACTTGCGTCGCACCCGCCCGCAACCTCCAAGGCCACATGGAGGTTGTCTCCACCCATTCCCATGTTGAAACCAGATGAAATCCATGGCGGACGCACCCAGCTTCCGATCAGCGGTTACTGCCAGACATTGCATCCGCAGCCAACAGGAACGCTTCAGGCGGTAACGAAGCGCAGTGAACCGCACGTTTTCTTCTGTTCCTTAGCTTCAATTCGCACTCACGACGTGGTAGCCATGGCAATTCGACCATGTCCATCAACAAGCAATACCATACTTCCCGCCAGAAAATGCATCTCTCTCTTCACTCGCGAAGTCACCCTCATCTCAAGCTAGCCTCGCCGCGCCGCAATGGACGGCGTGGATCTCTCGAAATGCGTGTGCGAGGCGGGCGCGGTGGAGTGGATCCGCGACTGGTTCCAGGACTGCGTGTACTCGCGATGGGACCTGCTCTCCTTCCTGCTCGGCCTCGCCTCCATCGGCTGCTGGCTCGTCGCGCAGCTGCCGCAGTTCATTCAGAATATACGCGTCGGGTCCGCTGACGCGCTCTCGCCCTGGTTCCTCTTCCAATGGCTCTCCGTACGCGCCGCTTCCAGCCCCCCACACTCGCATGTGCTTCTTGACCTATCTTTCCGCGCGAGAATCCCCCCACGGAAGTAGATATTTCTCTCCAAGTGTAGATAGCTACAGACTTTGCACAGTTGTCGCTATGTTCCGGACATCCGAGGTGATTCCATGGCGTCAATGCCTGCTCGCCTCCCGTCCTCCGTGCGTGTGCGTGTCCGGTGTCCGTGTACGCGCAGGGCGATCTGCTGAATCTGCTGGGCTGTCTGCTGTCCGGCAGCCAGCTCATCACGCAGACCTTCACCGCCATCTACTTTATCTTCGCCGACTGCTGCATCATCGCGCAGGTACCACCGTCCCCGCGCGCGCACGTGTAGTGCCAGGGGCCGCCCGCGCGCACGTCGCATTGCCATGTACCGACCCCTCGCGCGCGTATGTCCCAATGCGAGGCGAAGATCAGATGTGCGCGTCATTCCGGTCTGCGCAACTGCCGCCGCGGATCCCTGCCTCACGCTACGCATTCCCGCCTTCCTTTCCACCTTTCTCCACTTCCCCCCTCTCGCATCCTCTTCCGTTTCCCCTCTTCGCGTCCTTGTCCAAACATCCCCCCTCCTCCCCCCCCTTCCCCCCCCACCCCCCCCCCCCCCCCCCCCTCCCCTCCCCTTCCCCTCTTTTTCCCCCACATCCCTCCCATCCCCGCAGTATGTGTACTACCAGCTGAAGAACCGCGACTCGCTCGAGCTGGACGCGGACTGCATGTCGCGCGCGCCGTCGCAGCAGGACGGCTTCATCACCGCCGCCGCCTTCTCCTCGCCCTCCGCCGCCCTCCGCCGCCCGCTCCTGTCCGCCAGGCCCGCCGCGCCCGCAGACCACGCGGATGCCGCCACCAGCATTGAGGCGATCAGCAGAGCGCTGTCTGTATTGTCGCCGCCCAGGACGAAGCCATGGCGTGCTGTGGAGGAAATCCGCGCTTTAGAGAACGAGCTGCCTTATAGAGAGGTTGAGGCTGGCGGAGTGGCAGCGACAGCAGAGCATGAGAGTCACATGCACAGACCAAGGCAGGAGCCGCAGCAGCAACCGCACCGGCACGAGCACCACAACTACCACCCAGTGTCGTTCTTAGCTGGCCGCTCAGGCGCTGTGCTCCTCGCCCACGCCTGGCAGGGCCCCCACCTCGCCTCCGACCCCCGCCCCCTTTCCCTCCCACCTTCTCAAGGCGCACACACAGCTGGAGCCGAAGCAGACTTGGCAGGAGAAACGGACGTGGCTGGAAAACCAGAGGTGGCAGGAGAAACAGACGTGGCAGGAAAGGCAGTCGCAGCAGGAACAGCAGTGGGTCGGCGGCTTAATGTTGCTGGGCGGAGAGAACAGGGCGCGGGAGCGCGGGGAGACGGGCAAGGCAGGTTGTTGCGGATAGCTGAGGAGGGGGAAGGGCGGGCGGACCTGTTCCCTGTGGCGTCAGATAATACAGGCACGAGGGCGTCAGACAATGCAGGCGGAAGGGCGGACGGGGCAGGGGTGGTGGGAGATCGCAGCAGGAGACGTGCGACTGCTGACGAGGCAGGGGGAGCAGAGGGGCGCAGGGGCGGGGGCCAAGCGGGGCGAGTGCAGTTCGAGGAGCAAGGGGGGAAGGGCGGGGAGGGCGCGGGCGGCGAGGGGCGCAGGCGCAGGGCGTACAGCGGGCGGGAGGTGCGGCGGGTGGTGGAGCAGTATGGGCTGGAGCACGGCCCTCCGCTGCTGCACGCCCGCCTCACCATCCACCACCACCCCGCTGCGCCCGCGCCCAGCCCTGCAGCCCTGATGGGGGGAGAGCAGGGGCAGGTGGGACGGATGGGCGCAGGGCGGGAGGGGCATGGAGCAGCAGGAGCGGGTGGGGCGGGAGGCGGGCACGGGCGTGAGAGTGGGGCCACGCATGGAGGGGCGGGTTACGTGAAGCAGGAGGGGACAGCTGCTGAGGGAACGGGTGCCTCGGCTGCTGTAGCAAGTGCAGCTGCCACCGTGCCTGCTACCACTGGGGAAGGTCCATCCGAGGGAGGTAACTCTTCTGGTGGAGGGGCAGCAGGGCCCAGGCCGCAGAAGGCGGGGGCGCTGTCTCTGCTGCTGGGCTCGCTCATGCTGCTGGCACTCGCGTCCTCTGCTCTCAACCCTGCAGATCAAGGGGATGCGCTCACAGCACAGCTCAGTGGTGGCGCTGGTCCGTGCACAGGGGGCAGGTGCAGCATGGCATGGTGGGGGACAGGTGAGGTCGAGGCAGCGGCAGGAAGGAAGCTGCTGGCGGTGCAGGCGAGGGAGAGGCAGGCACAGTGGCATCAGTTGCGGGGGGAGCAGCATGCGTGGCAGCAGCAGGCGGTGCTGGGGGTTGGGAGAGTGAGGTCTGGCAACGGCACGCTCTGCCTGCCGCATCCCCATCACACAAACTGCCAGCCTGCTGCTGGTGCTGCTGCTGCTGTGCGTGCGGGTGGTGGCAGTGCAGTGAGTGATGGTGGCAGTTTGGCAGGCAGGGAGGCAGGTGTGGTGCTGCAGCTGCTGCCCCCCGTGCTTCCACTCGCTGACAGACTGAGCAAGGAGCAAAAGGACGCGGGGGAAAGGGGCGGGAGGGAGAGGGACAGGGAGGAGGGGGATGCAGAGATGGCAGCGTGCAGGGCGGAGAGGAAGCGGCGGAGGAAGGAGCCCAGCAGATTCATTCACCAGCTGGGCCTCATGCTCGGGTGTGTGCATCCCCACATCCGTCATCCATGGCATCTTGGCCACTCCAGCATATTCTCCACATACCTCTCCCGTAAACCTCTCGCACACACCTCTCCCACTCACCTTTCACACCTCTCCCTCACGCCTCTCCCTCCCACCTCTCCCTCACACCTCTCCCTCCCACCTCTCCTTCACACCTCTCCCTCACCAGGTGGGTGTCAGCGGGCTTCTATCTGGGCTCGCGGGTGTCGCAGATCTGGCAGAACGCGGAGCGCGGGTCAGCAGAGGGGCTGTCCATGGCCATGTTCCTCTGCGCCTTCTGTGGCAACCTCACCTACGGCACTGCCATTCTGCTGCGCGCCCCTTCTCTGTACGCTATTCTGCTGCGCGCCCCTTCTCTGTATGCTATTCTGCTGCGCGCCCCTTCTCTGTACGCTATTCTGCTGCGCGCCCCTTCTCTGTACGCTATTCTTCTCCGCACCCCTTCTCTTCAGCCCTGATCGCAAGTGCATTCAGGGGAACCTCTGGAAATGAAGCGTGTTGCCCTTGTGTGTGCGGTGTGCATGGCAGGGCGGCATTGAGTGGCAACCTGCCATGGCTGGTGGGCAGCATGGGGACTCTTTCCCTAGACATCACCATCTACCTGCAGGTGAGCCGACCATTGTTATCTTCACCTGACACGCCTTGCACTGCATCCACAGGAGAAAGTCTATGCTGCTGGTGGAATTACTTCGGATAATGTTTTGGAACCTTTGTTCTCAACCGCTGTGTCAATCACAACTCAGTCGCACACTCTATTCTACTGCACACATCCTGTCATGTTTTGCAGGCCCAGTTTCTGAGCTGCAAGAAGGAACACTCATCTGTCGTTCGCCCCGTCACTGTCTTATGACTAGTGCGCCCTCTGCTGCGCTGCTTCTCAGCGTGCCGTGGCTCTCTACACACACTTGATGTGAAGCTCATTCGTCATTCAAAAGCACTGTAATTGACACCCATTGCTCCTTATCCTTGGAAGACTAGCCGTTAATATTGTTGCGCTATAGCAAGAAGAAAGAGGCATCCACAGCACAGGCATCCTATGCAGTGGGCCAATCAAACTGATGCATTGGGCAGCTTGGTCAGTATGACCACCTATAATAGGCATACCAAGCAAAGTTCAGATGCTTAAATATTGCAAACTACATGGAATGAAATGGAAACACTTGTGGATGTGGAAAATAGTAAAATCTAGTGGACTAGTACCGGTAACAAAAAAGAGGCATCCAAAGCAGGGCTCTTGCTAGTATTTGAGGACGTCTGATTCATCAGACGGGTCCCCCAAGCAAAAAAATGGTTTCGTCTGATCTAGATTGGGAGATCATATGAATAATAATAAAAAAAAAAAGTCTGCAAATCAGACCATCAGTGTTATGAATGAACTTGTCAGAGTGCGCAGAATATTGAATAACGAAAATGAGGATTACAGAATGACGAAACAATGAAGTAGCGAGGCCTAAATAGGGGAAAACCCAGAGCTGACGTTTCAAATCTGGGTACACTGATGGCTCTAAATTATTTTTTTTTAAACACTGAGGGTGGTTCGACCAGATTTTGACCACTCTGATGGCTCAGTCTCCAGGGAACACCTTCCCTGTGGTCACAGGGTTGACTAACTATGATCAGAGTCTTGTTGCTACAGTTTTTTCATTACACATGCACTGTCAACAATGCCCGGCCCGGCGGGACTTGGAGTACACAGCAAAGCAATAGCACTAACTATCCTACTCTGTCGGCTTGTCTATGTGATACATCTCTTCTCCCTCCTCCTCGCCATCCGAGAGGAAGGGGTTATCTTCTTCCTCCGAGTAGTCTCGGGGCGGCGACTGCTCAATCTCCTGATCCATCTCCATGTTGTCGTCACGATCGTCGTCTGACTCAGCGAACTCCTCCTCGCGTGCAGGCTCGCTGGGTTCCTCCTCCTCCTCCTCCGGCTCCTTCTCCTTGTGCTTCCGATCGTCTGAAGAGAACAATACACTCTGCGCGGGACGCCTCTTCTTGAGGCTCTTCCAGGTGTCGAGCACCCGAGGCCAGTCCATCTCGTACTGCAGCAGTGAGATCTGCATCAGCTCCCCGAGCCGCGCGTTGCAGAGCGACCCTCTGATCCACGACTTGATCACGTTCTAGTGCGAGAACGAGGACTCCACTCCACCGTGGATAGTGGCAGGACTGCCAGCGCCTGCCACAGCAGCAGCAGGTTGGGCCATCGCCCGCCAAGAACGAGGAGCAGCAGTTTTGGAGGTGTGTTAGTTTGAAAAATAAACATGTGGCAAACACATACTCGGTCAACCTACCTCTTGGCGTCGCCGCTCCCCATGAAGTTCGCCAGTCCCTGTGCGAACGACTCTTCCTCGTGGTGAGACTCCATGATTGGGCACCAGTTGCCAGCTCCTGCGAGGCTTTCTTGAGATCAAACCCAGGCAGCTTGTTCTTGAACAGCGCGCTGCAGCCTGTCAGCCAGTCCTGGCACTTGCAGTCTCGGGCGTGCTTGCTCTTCGGCCACTTCGACGCGCGAAACAGCTTCATTGGACCCATCCCCCGCAGGTCGTCCAGGCGAAACAGGAGACGGTCGACGACGTCCTTCGCGAACTTGCGACACAGCTTCACGCACGCCTTGTAGCCGCTCTTGTACTTATGGTCCTTCAGCTTCCTCTCGTGCAGGATGTACGAGTGGTTTACCGGGCGCCCCTCCGAATCCGCGCCACGCACTCGGACCGTCTGGCCCGACTTCTTCGCATACAGCTTCAGGAATTTCGGGAGCCATCCATTGCCGGTCCCACTGAAGTCCGCCTTCTTGTCAAGGTACCTGTGCTCGAGGTCACCAGTGATGGACTCGACGGTCTTTGCCACCTCAGTAACATCGACCTGCAACAACAACGACATGCTGTTAGTATTGGATATCACGAAAATTATGGCCAACCATACAAATGTGCCTCACCTGCCGCTTCTGAAATGACCGGTTCAGATCGTTCAGGTCGCTAAGGATGTCAGCGAGGAAGAAGGGGCAGAACTAGAACTTGTACGATGTCACTGTCTCGTACAAGTCGTGCTCCTTCTCGTGGAAGAGAATAATCGCAGCGCCCAGCACCTTGCACAGACGCTTCACCGCGTCGCCCCGGGACAGCCAGCGCACGCTGTGGATTCCCTGGACCTCGAGGTTCGTGTTGTAAATGATGCGCTGCAGGTACTTGAACCTCTGGCTCCAGTGGCTGGAGGCGCCCAGGCGTTCAGCAAGCATGCGCACCACGGTGTCCACCATCGCCAGGTCCGGATTTGAAGCTGCCGCGTCCTTCACCGCCAATGCCTCCCTGCAGTTCAGATACACAGAGCTAGATGTCTGCATGTGCTTCGTGATACACAGATAGAAACAGTACATGGTGGAGCCATAAGGGTTGCATCACCTGTGGGCGATGCAGTGCGTACACACCAGATGCGGCACATGTTCCCGCAGCCTTGTCACGAGCCCGTTGTCGCATCCAATCATTACAGACGCGCCGTCCGTGCTGATGCCCACCACTCAGATGAGGTCGATGTTGGCAGTGTGCAAGTGGTTCAGGAGCACCGACAGGAGAGAAGCTGCATCACACCGCTCGACAGTGAGAAGGGTCAGATATTCAGTCACAACACGACGGTTGCGCAGGAACGTGATGTAGACTATCATGTGCTTCCCGCGAGTCCGGTCGGTGCTCTCGTCTGTGCTCAAACCGAGGAAGGGCGAAGAGGCGATGTGCTGCATCTGCTGCTGAGTCAACCAGGTGCTGAGGCAGTGCACCATCCGCTGGAAACCGTATCTGCAGAGGGTATAACAAACAAGGACATTTGTCGTAGGTGGGAGGCATGACGTAAACCCCAAAACACTAAACATACATGCCCTACCGCGTGAGGTACAACCCCGTAAGCTTGCTTCGGGATGTCGGGGGTGTCCTGCTCAGCGAGATGCCTCATCAGCTTCGGGAACATGCTGATGGGCGCGCCCTCCTGGCAAAGAAACTGCACCGACCGCATCAGCCGGATCGCTCGCCGACCCTCCACGTCCGCGTTGATGAACCGATCGATTTTCGTATGGCCGTTCGAAATCGCCTCCGCAATCTCCGCCTGACGCTGCATCGCCTCCTTGTGGACCGTTGTGTGCTCGTGGATGCGCATCGTCTGCGTCTGCAGGTCTCGCCCGCCGTCACCAGGACCTGAGTACTTGGTCGTCTCCTTGCCGAATGAGAGACACACGCTGCACTTAACACTAGGACTACCATCTTTAGCGCGAAGCAAGAGCAGCCAGGGGAATTTGGGCAACCACTGCGTGTTGTACTTGACACTTGCCTCAATGTACTTCAGCTCCATCAACTCAGCCTTGGACAGAACGGGGGAGTTGGTGTCTGCACGTACAGGTATTTCATCTGGTTCCTTAGGTTCGGGCTCCTCCTCCTCAAGTGCACTCGGTGGTGGCACGCGCACACCGCCGAATGTCAACGTGCTCTGCTGTAACTTGCCTCGGAGTAAAACCGTGCGCGCCTTCTTAGCCGTACGAACCTCAGACGCGGGAGCAACATCGTTGCAGCCGCTGCTACCAACTGTAGAGGGAGGCGCTTTAATGGACGACGCGATGGCGGGTGAGAGAATGAACGACGCTGGAGCAAACGGAGGATTGGGCAGCGGTTGCGGCCCCTTGCTGGACGACGCGATGGCGGGAGGGAGAGTGAAGGGCGCTGGGGAAGGCGCGGGATTGGCCGGCGGTGCCGGCCCCTTGCTTGACGACGCGATGGCAGGAGGGAGAGAAAACGGCGCTGGAGGAGGCGCGGGATTGGGGGCCGGTTGCGGCTCCTTGCTGGACGATGGGCCAGCGTCGTAAAAAGGGCCTAGCGTGTGCAAAATAGCAAGAACAAGGGCCTAGCGTGTGCAAAATAGCAAGAACAAGGGCCTAGCGTGTGCAAAATTGCAAGAACAAGGGCCTAGCGTGTACAAAAATGCAAGAACAAGGGCCTAAAGAGTGAAAAATTGCAAGAACAAGGGCCAAGCGTGTTTAAAATTGCAAAAACAAGGGTCTAGCATATGCAAAATAGCAAGAACAAGGGCCTAGCGTGTGCAAAATTGCAAGAACAAGGGCCTAGCGTGTGCAAAGTTTCAAGGACAAGGGACTAGCGTGTGCAATATTGCAAGAACAAGGGCCTAGCGTGTGCAAAATTGCAAGAACAAGGGCCTAGCGTGTGCAAAATTGGAAGAACATGGGCCTAGCATGTGCAAAATTGCAAGAACAAGGGCCTAACGTGTGCAATATTGCAAGAACAAGGGCCTAGCGTGTGCAAAATTGCAAGAACAAGGGACTAGCATGTGCAAAATTTCAAGAACAAGGGCCTAGCGTGTGCAAAATTGAAAGAACAAGGGCCTAGCGTATGCAAAATTGCAAGAACAAGGGCCTAGCGTGTGCAAAATTGCAAGAACAAGGGCCTAGCGAGTGCAAAATTGCAAGAACAAGGGCCTAGCGTGTTTAAAATTGCAAGAACAAGGGCCTAGCGTGTGCAAAATAGCAAGAAAAAGGGCCTAGCGTGTGCAAAATTGCAAGAACGAGATCCTAGCGTGTGCAAAATTTCAAGAACAAGGGCCTAGCGTGTGCAATATTGCAAGAACAAGGGCCTAGCGTGTGCAAAATTGCAAGAACAAGGGCCTAGGGTGTGCAAAATTGCAAGAACATGGGCCTAGCATGTGCAAAATAGCAAGAACAAGGGCCTAGCGTGTGCAATATTGCAAGAACAAGGGCCTAGCATGTGCAAAATTGCAAGAACAAGGGCCTAGCTTGTGCAAAATTGCAAGAACAAGGGCCTAGCGTGTGCAAAATAGCAAGAACAAGGGCCTAGCGTGTGCAAAATAGCAAGAACAAGGGCCTAGCGTGTGCAAAATTGCAAGAACAAGGGCCTAGCGTGTACAAAAATGCAAGAACAAGGGCCTAAAGAGTGCAAAATTGCAAGAACAAGGGCCTAGCGTGTTTAGAATTGCAAAAACAAGGGCCTAGCATATGCAAAATAGCAAGAACAAGGGCCTAGCGTGTGAAAAATTGCAAGAACAACGGCCTAGCGTGTGCAAAGTTTCAAGGAAAAGGGACTAGCGTGTGCAATATTGCAAGAACAAGGGCCTAGCGTGTGCAAAATTGCAAGAACAAGGGCCTAGCGTGTGCAAAATTGCAAGAACATGGGCCTAGCATGTGCAAAGTTTCAAGGAAAAGGGACTAGCGTGTGCAATATTGCAAGAACAAGGGCCTAGCGTGTGCAAAATTGCAAGAACAAGGGCCTAGCGTGTGCAAAATTGCAAGAACAAGGGCCTAGCGTGTGCAAAATTGCAAGAACAAGGGCCTAGCGTGTGCAAAATTGCAAGAAGAAGGGCCTAGCGAGTGCAAAATTGCAAGAACAAGGGCCTAGCGTGTGCAAAATTGCAAGAACAAGGGCCTAGCGTGTGCAAAATTGCAAGAAGAAGGGCCTAGCGAGTGCAAAATTGCAAGAAGAAGGGCCTAGCATGTGCAAAATTTCAAGAACAAGGGCCTAGCGTGTGCAAAATTGAAAGAACAAGGGCCTAGCGTGTGCAAAATTGCAAGAACAAGGGCCTAGCGAGTGCAAAATTGCAAGAACAAGGGCCTAGCGAGTGCAAAATTGCAAGAACAAGGGCCTAGCGTGTTTAAAATTGCAAGAACAAGGGCCTAGCGTGTGCAAAATAGCAAGAAAAAGGGCCTAGCGTGTGCAAAATTGCAAGAACGAGATCCTAGCGTGTGCAAAATTTCAAGAACAAGGGCCTAGCGTGTGCAATATTGCAAGAACAAGGGCCTAGCGTGTGCAAAATAGCAAGAAAAAGGGCCTAGCGTGTGCAAAATTGCAAGAACGAGATCCTAGCGTGTGCAAAATTTCAAGAACAAGGGCCTAGCGTGTGCAATATTGCAAGAACAAGGGCCTAGCGTGTGCAAAATTGCAAGAACAAGGGCCTAGGGTGTGCAAAATTGCAAGAACATGGAACAAGGGCCTAGCGTGTGCAAAATTGCAAGAACAAGGGCCTAGGGTGTGCAAAATTGCAAGAACATGGGCCTAGCGTGTGCAAAATAGCAAGAACAAGGGCCTAGCGTGTGCAATATTGCAAGAACAAGGGCCTAGCATGTGCAAAATTGCAAGAACAAGGGCCTAGCTTGTGCAAAATAGCAAGAACAAGGGCCTAGCGTGTGCAAAATTGCAAGAACAAGGGCCTAGCGTGTACAAAAATGCAAGAACAAGGGCCTAGCGAGTGCAAAATTTCAAGAACAAGGGCCTAGCGTGGGCAAAAAAGCAAGAACAAGGACCTAGCGAGTGCAAAATTGCAAGAACAAGGGCCTAGCGTGTGCAAAATTGCAAGAACAAGGGCCTAGCGTGTAAAAAAATGCAAGAACAAGGGCCTAGCGTGTGCAAAATTGCAAGAACAAGGGCCTAGCGTTTGCAAAAATGCAAGAACAAGGGCCTACCGTGTGCAAAATTGCAAGAACAAGGGCCTAGCTTGTGCAAAATAGCAAGAACAAGGGCCTAGCTTGTGCAAAATTGCAAGAACAAGGGCCTACCGTGTGCAAAATAGCAAGAACAAGGGACTAGCGTGTGCAGTATTGCAAGAACAAGGGCCTAGCGTGTGCAAAATTGCAAGAACAAGGGCCTAGCGTGTGCAAAATTGCAAGAACATGGGCCTAGCGTGTGCAAAATTGCAAGAACAAGGGCCTAGCGTGTGCAATATTGAAAGAACAAGGGCCTAGCGTGTGCAAAAATGCAAGAACAAGGGCCTAGCGTGTGCAAAATTGCAAGAACAAGGGCCTAGCGTGTGCAGTATTGCAAGAACAAGGGCCTAGCGTGTGCAAAATTGCAAGAACAAGGGCGTAGCGTGTGCAAAATTGCAAGAACATGGGCCTAGCGTGTGCAAAATTGCAAGAACAAGGGCCTAGCGTGTGCAATATTGCAAGAACATGGGCCTAACGTGTGCAAAATTGCAAGAACAAGGCCCTAGCGTGTGCAAAATTGCAAGAACAAGGGCCTAGCGAGTGCAAAATTGCAAGAACAAGGGCCTAGCGTGTTTAAAATTGCAAGAACAAGGGCCTAGCTTGTGCAAAATAGCAAGAACAAGGGCCTAGCGTGTGCAAAATAGCAAGAACAAGGGCCTAGCATGTGCAAAATAGCAAGAACAAGGGCCTAGCATGTGCAGTATAGCAAGAACAAGGGCCTAGCGTGTGCAGTATAGCAAGAACAAGGGCCTAGCGTGTGCAGTATTGCAAGAACAAGGGCCTAGCGTGTGCAAAATAGCAAGAACATGGGCCTAGCGTGTGCAAAATTGCAAGAACAAGGGCCTAGCGTGTGCAAAATTGCAAGAACAAGGGCCTAGCGTGTGCAAAATTGCAAGAACAAGGGCCTAGCATGTGCAAAATTGGAAGAACAAGGGCCTAGCATGTGCAGTATTGCAAGAACAAGGGCCTAGTGTGTGCAAAATTGCAAGAACAAGGGCGTAGCGTGTGCAAAATTGCAAGAACAAGGGCGTAGCGTGTGCAAAATTGCAAGAACAAGGGCCTAGCGAGTGCAATATTGCAAGAACAAGGGCCTAGCGTGTTTAAAATTGCAAGAACAAGGGCCTAGCTTGTGCAAAATAGCAAGAACAAGGGCCTAGCGTGTGCAAAATAGCAAGAACAAGGGCCTAGCATGTGCAAAATAGCAAGAACAAGGGCCTAGCGTGTGCAAAATAGCAAGAACAAGGGCCTAGCGTGTGCAAAATTGCAAGAAGAAGGGCCTAGCGAGTGCAAAATTGCAAGAAGAAGGGCCTAGCATGTGCAAAATTTCAAGAACAAGGGCCTAGCGTGTGCAAAATTGAAAGAACAAGGGCCTAGCGTGTGCAAAATTGCAAGAACAAGGGCCTAGCGAGTGCAAAATTGCAAGAACAAGGGCCTAGCGAGTGCAAAATTGCAAGAACAAGGGCCTAGCGTGTTTAAAATTGCAAGAACAAGGGCCTAGCGTGTGCAAAATAGCAAGAAAAAGGGCCTAGCGTGTGCAAAATTGCAAGAACGAGATCCTAGCGTGTGCAAAATTTCAAGAACAAGGGCCTAGCGTGTGCAACATTGCAAGAACAAGGGCCTAGCGTGTGCAAAATAGCAAGAAAAAGGGCCTAGCGTGTGCAAAATTGCAAGAACGAGATCCTAGCGTGTGCAAAATTTCAAGAAGAAGGGCCTAGCGAGTGCAAAATTGCAAGAACAAGGGCCTAGCGTGTGCAAAATTGCAAGAACAAGGGCCTAGCGTGTGCAAAATTGCAAGAAGAAGGGCCTAGCGAGTGCAAAATTGCAAGAAGAAGGGCCTAGCATGTGCAAAATTTCAAGAACAAGGGCCTAGCGTGTGCAAAATTGAAAGAACAAGGGCCTAGCGTGTGCAAAATTGCAAGAACAAGGGCCTAGCGAGTGCAAAATTGCAAGAACAAGGGCCTAGCGAGTGCAAAATTGCAAGAACAAGGGCCTAGCGTGTTTAAAATTGCAAAAACAAGGGCCTAGCGTGTGCAAAATAGCAAGAAAAAGGGCCTAGCGTGTGCAAAATTGCAAGAACGAGATCCTAGCGTGTGCAAAATTTCAAGAACAAGGGCCTAGCGTGTGCAATATTGCAAGAACAAGGGCCTAGCGAGTGCAAAATTGCAAGAACAAGGGCCTAGCGTGTTTAAAATTGCAAGAACAAGGGCCTAGCTTGTGCAAAATAGCAAGAACAAGGGCCTAGCGTGTGCAAAATAGCAAGAACAAGGGCCTAGCATGTGCAAAATAGCAAGAACAAGGGCCTAGCATGTGCAGTATAGCAAGAACAAGGGCCTAGCGTGTGCAGTATAGCAAGAACAAGGGCCTAGCGTGTGCAGTATTGCAAGAACAAGGGCCTAGCGTGTGCAAAATAGCAAGAACATGGGCCTAGCGTGTGCAAAATTGCAAGAACAAGGGCCTAGCGTGTGCAAAATTGCAAGAACAAGGGCCTAGCGTGTGCAAAATTGCAAGAACAAGGGCCTAGCATGTGCAAAATTGGAAGAACAAGGGCCTAGCATGT